AAGTATTGCTGCTGTGGTAACATCTTGGAAAATAAATTCCATTATAAAACCCAAAAGTACAGGTTGATTGCTTAGGCTGCTGTTTTGCTGTTTGTTAGGAGATGAGATTGCACATGTCTGAAGTTCCTAGTAGCACTGGAAGTATTCTTGCTATCTCGTGCCTTAAAACACTGCTCATTGTTTTTGTTTAATAATGTTTTGTTCAAAAGTCCAGATTTTCTGAAGTCTTACGATGCAGCTGGCACTATCCATGACTATGTGGTTGCCATGTTATGTGACCTGAAGAAGCCACTGATGTCTGTCCAGAATGCTGCCAGCTGGGGATATTTTAATTCCAGAAGCAAAAGCTGGAATACTGATATGTAAGTGCTAAGATCATTCAACGCATTCTACTTGTTGCTTGTATCAGGCAACATGAACGTCTGTCTCTTTGGGCCCTAACTATGAAAATGCTACAGATAGGAAGTGAATGAAAGTCACTCCTGAGCAGTTGTGATGTGGCCCATACAGGAGTGTTGTGGGTTTGCTCTGGTTTGTAAGGGACATAATGCTTAAATTATATAAAATCTGGCACTGTATTTTTAGAAACAGCTAAAACAGCAGAGCTGAGGGGATTGTCAGTGAGGCCTTGTATACAAAACTGTTCCTTTCCCTTTCTGTGGTATGATCATGGGATGCAATGGGATGGGCGAGTGACTGCTGCAGCCCGTGCATTACCTGTGTGATGGTAAAAGAAGGCTATTAGTTCTTTCAGTTCAGCTTCTTTGTAACCACTAAGATTTACTTGTGATACTACCTAAAAGTTATTAGGCTACAGGAAGTCTTATGGGAAATTAGGTTTTGTGTGTGTGTGTGTGTTTTTTTTTTTTTTTTTTTTTTTTTTTAAATGATTTGCTCTTTCAGGGGGGACCATATACAATTCAGGGCTTAGGTTAGGCCAGGACTCCAAGGTGAAAAGATCTTCTGCTCCTGAAGGTAAACTAATTTTTAATGCCTTGAAAGAGTGACAGAAGCTTGCATCAGGATTGCTGATCTTTCACTAATCTGGTGTAGCTGTAGCCACAGAATGTATCTTGCAGTTTGTTTGTGTAAGGAGTTTGTTGGACTTAAGTCTTTGTGATTTGGTTTTGAACCACTAACTGTTTGCATAACAGCTCTAAGTTCTTTGGCATGTGAAAGATGATTTTGTTTTTTAGGCTGTTTTTGTGGTTGACCCTTAACTCTGGAACTGCCCGTATGTATGACAGCATTAGCTTAAACTGGCAGTGCAGGTACTGCTGTATAATGTCAGGTAATCAGATTGTATATAAAGTATTTATTCTTCTAGAGTATTCTAGTCCACCCAGCGAGTGGAACTGGAATGCTGCTTTGGTCCAAGGCAAATCTTTCTAAATAGGTGAAAGTCTCCATAAATCCGGCAGCCACAAATGCCAGGTTCACCTATGACTTCAAAGAGGTCCTTGTAGTCATGTTGCATGTTCCCATTCTGCTTTCCTGCAATTACATTGTTCTGATTGCAGCTTGAGAAAGTCCGGCTTTCCTGTTCACTTGCTTCCAGAGGTGGGAGACCCTGGCAGCATTGCAGGCAGGACAATCTATGCATGGCATGGAATACCCAAGGGAGCAGAAGTCGGAATTGCCCTCGGAGATTTCCAGTGCTCTGTTTATTCCTGTCTGACTGAGAGGACTGATGCAGGTATGATTATGTAGCTGATAGGCTGCAGCTGAGACCTCAATTTTTATTTGTATCTGTCTGTGTGATTAATTAATCTTGATATCTTATTTGTTTTTTCTTTGTCCTCCTTCATGGTAGTCTGCTAAAAAACTGAACTTTTTCTTTCATGTCCTAGTTCTCAATATCAGCACCTCTGCTCAGCTGACCATCTCTATGCCCCCGGGATTCCAACCTCCAGAAACACCAGATCCTTTCTCAGCTGTTACTTATTTTCCCTACTTCAATGGTAACTACTTGGCAGTGGCAGCATCGCTCAACGGAGGCAACGTTCTAGCAATGTTTGTGGACGTGGTGGCCCAGTGGACAGCAGAGCTGGGTAAGTTATTTCAAGGATAGTTAAAGCTTAAAATAGGGTTAATCAGGAAGGTACCACAGTAGCTGAGGCAAAAGAACAAGCCTGGAGCTGTTTTGTTGCGCTCCATAAGGAACAAAGATGACTCTTGTGTCACGCTTCCTAGATCTCTAGAATTTCCTTTTGAAGCTAATGAGCATGCTGGGACAGTCATGCCTGGACCCTGCATTCACATCATCTCTAGCTTTTCTTTCGTTTCGAGAATATAAGATAATATATTTCAAAAGGAAAGGTCAGCAAATTTGAAGGCAGCTGCTAATTTTGTATGATTGCAGTCCAAAAGAGTCCTCTGATTAAATCAATTGCCTTTTGCTGCAAATTTTGCAGAACTCTAAACACTTAATGGATTTTAAGACTCAAGTTCATGTAATATCCCTTAAGTGCTTTAAGTGTGGTCTTTACAGGCCTTTTTGTATTCCTCTCCTGGGTGTTGCAGTGAAGCAATGAATTCTTAAATCCTTTACTCTTTCATCAAGTTCTTGAAGGAAACTCTGCATTTAGCTTCAGTGAATGGATTGCATGTGAAGTCTGCCATTAGTGCCTTTAGTGATGTTTTCTTGTGTAACTTTGCACCGTGTAGGCAAAGAAGGATAGCTCTGTTATCAGAAGTGGCAGTTCCTGTAATCAGGAAAAAAATTCTAGCATCACAGTATGCTGGAAGGGAAGGGGGTTCAGAGTCCTGGAAAAGCTATTATCTTTGGCACAGGGAAAAACAGATGTGCAATATTTTGCTGAGCCGGTGGATCCGTTTCCATTTTAAGTCTCCATATGTAAGGTGTACTAGACCCCTTCAAATTAGTAACATGGTATTTCCCTTTTGCAGGCCTTGAGGTTCAGGAGTCTACTATCTATACAAAAATAATCAAAGCAGCCTTGGCCCAAAACAACAGCAAACTCTCAATCCACCCAACAATATTTGGAGAGAGGCACGTGCCTGAGCAGTTGGCTTCAGTGACCAATATCTCCGTCTCTGACCTCTCCCTGGGTCATGTAACTAGAGCTCTGTGCCGTGGGATCATTGAAAATCTCCATTCCATGCTGCCTTCTGAGCGCCTGACGGAGACAGGAGTGAGGAGGATTCTGGGAACTGGGAGTGCCCTTGCCAGGAATGAGGTGCTGAGGCAGGAAGCAGAGAGGATTTTTCCCTTCCCTGTGATTTACGGGAAGGATGTTGACGCTGCTGTGGGGGCTGCCATGGTGATGTTCCCCAGAAAATAAAGTCATTATTTGGAATGGCCTGACATGCATTTTCTTATTCTTCTTTTTTCTCTAGATGTACGGTGTTTCCTTTCACTTCCTAACTTTTTCTGGAGTTGTAGTCAATGTACCATCTCACTCACCGCAGCAAAAACCAGCTTCTCTTTAACGTCCGTTTCTGCTCCTGGCTGTACACAGGGGCCTCCATTTCCTTGCTCTGCCATTGCCATTTGCGAAATGAGAAGTAATTACCACATGAAATTTGACTGAGTGATTAGGAGAGATCCATTAAGTTTCTGCATAAGATGTTAATTTCATGCTAGGCTCATTTTCCTGGTAGGAAATATGTTCAGAAGGGCTAAGAGAGAAGAGTAGCTTTCTGTAACTTGATCTGACGCTTTCATTAGAGACATCTTGTGCTTAAGCTGTCTCATAGTATACATACATATAGGTAGTAGGCTGGGATGTCAAGCTTGTTTGAGAAGTTTGGTGGCACTTGCACAGAATGAATGCCATTTTTTGCACGTTGCCTGTGTAGAAGATGAAATACAGCCTTGGCTTGCATGTCAACAAAATGATCAAAATAAAACATGGAGGATTATATCGGTGGTCACTCAGTGGATTTAGGTCAGAGGTGAGACTAGGTCAGTACCATGACAGGAGACACCTGAAATGCAGGGCTTATATCCTAATACAGGATACATACACAGGGTATGAGTGAGGTAACTATTTTTCTTATTTGGCAGTGTGTAATTATTTTATAGGTTTTTTTTTTGTTTGGTAGAGAGGATCAGGGCTTCTCTGGAACAGTCAGAATTTGTGATGAACAGGAGGAGGTAGCCAACTCAAAGTTTTATGGAAGTCTAATCCTCATCTCTTTGAACTGTGATTTTACTTTTGAGCCCAATCACAATTATCATTTCTGAGAGATGATCCACAGAAATGATTTGCTCTTGAAATACAATGCCCAGGTATTTTAGTGTATTTGATTTGAAGGTGTTTCTGATTCTGCCCTTCGTGTATTGTGCCATGTAAGTGAGTTTTAACATGGCAGCTGCCAGGGTAGACTCTAACCCATTTTTAGTGTTGAGTATTGATTATGAGACTTCCCTTAGAATTTCTAAGTTTTTATCTCCTATGCTATGCTCTTAAAATTGATTTCTCTGCCTACTCTTTATTTTGATATAAAAACATTCACACTTTATTTGTCAGTCTGAAACAAGATGGATGTATGCCTTTTCTTGCTCAGATGAGATTGGGGAGTAAGACAGTTTCATGTCATCTGGATGCAATTTCTTTACTGAGAGCATCTATTTCAACTGAAATATGGATGTATATTTTCATTTTACACATTAGCAACATCAGGACTGCCTCATTTTCTTAAGTGAGAAAGCTATTCTGAGTTCTGAGACCTGAATTACAGAGATGGATTAATTTCCGTTTCTCTCCAGACTCCCTCCATGCATCTGTTTCACGTGGTGGTTATAGAACTATTGGCATAAAAGGAATTGCAGACAAAGTGTAGAGTAGTTGAAAAATTTTGTAAAAGGTCTTGATTTTGTTATGTATATTTTTTCCCCTTGTTGGTTGTTATAAAATATTTTGGTATCAGCAGATCTGTTTTCATTTTTGTTGAATAGCTGTGGAAAGAGCTGATAACACTTTTCCACCATGGTACTGCAGCTGCTGTTAACCATGAAACCAAGCTGTCCAAGCTGTCCATTTGCAGAAGCTAGTAAAATTTGCTCTGACTTTAGGTTGCAACGGTCTCTAGTGCTATTAGCAAAGGCAAGACTATCTCTGACCTGCAGACAAGCCTTGGATACATCTTTAAGATCTCTAGCATAACTACTGATATTTTTCCATTTGTAGAGGTGGAGAGAGCTCTTAGCAGGCAAAAACACTCTCAAGCACAGAAGTCACGCAAAGCCTACACACTCATGTGTGGGTACATGGATGCAGGCCCAAGAAAAAGGAATGGTTTTTCTTCTTGTTTATTACTGTCCAATTCTGATAGGCGTTCACATCTCCTAACGAGCTCACACCTTTAAACCAAGTCTCTCCTGAGATGGAATATGATACCTCAGACAACCATTACAAGAGTCACAGGATGCTGCTGGTAAGAGGGAATTAACATCTTCACAAGAAATATGAGTCAAGGAGGCTGATGAGGGAGGCATCAAAGCTCAGGAAACAGCAGAAAGCTTCTAAAGTGTGCGCATCAGACCATGGTAAGGCTGAAAGGAATCGAGTCCAGGAATGGGAGAAGAGGGGGAAGGAGCATTTAGCGAAAGGGATCAGTGAGAAGCTTTGAGACTGAATGAGGAAGACCCTTTGCTGACCCATATAGTTCCCTTACGAGCCCTGCGTTGCAAATGGTGAAGGAGTTAATCATAATATTGAATCAGATACTCTGCTCAGCAAAATTCCAGGAGCACCAGACAAGGATCTGGCGCACTGCTAATCTATATTTATGCATTAATAAATAAGCATTTTATTTCCTTTGAGTACAATACCATAGGGTGTTTTAAGTAGTATAATTAGTTCACTATTAAATAGGCAAATATATTATTTTTTTATAGGTGGCAAGACTAGAAAGATTTCTTATCCTGTAGTTTGACCTTTTGCAAAACGTAAACAAATTTCATCAAGTAATTTCTTTATCTAGCCTCAAACCTCAGGAGCTAGATGTTTGCAGCCTCTAGCCTAACAACTACAGCTTATCAGCTCAGCTTGCTGGAAAAGCTGTCTCTCCAGCCTCGTCTGTGGCAGAGAGATCCTATGTTCGTGACATTTAACAACATTTGACACAATTCTTCAATTTTTTTAGGGGACAGAACCAGCACAGATGAGATAAGATTTTTTTTTTCCTAATGTTGCTAACATTTTAATGTTTTTAAATCTGTTACGTGTCTATTTTTAAATAAAACATAGTAGGAACATGGAATGATAGAGTGGCCTTAGGATTTTCTGTCATTGGGTTCTCCTTTAACTGTTCAGAATCAATTTATCTTTAAGATGCTTGGTGAGGTTTTGTGGCAGCCACCCAAGAGCCTCCAGAAAAGGTAAATGATTTCAGAGACGAGCTGTGGCATATTTTAGAAAGTTTTGCAAAGTGAAATGAAACAGTTGTGTTGTTTGGTGGGTGGGGTTTTGGGGTTTGTTTTTGTTTTTTTGCAGCTTGAGTGTATTTGCAAAGAGGAAATCTGAAGAGGAGTGTCCATTACTAAATGTAATTAGGGGAGGGAAAAAAACAATAGCAATATATTGCAATTCTTGTAAAAAGCTTTACTAAACCCCTGGGAATAGCAGCTACTAATGCTTCTACTTCCAGAATTGTTCTTGATGATTTTATTACTGTGTTCCCTATTCTTCTAGTGAACTTCCCTTGATTCTAAAAATCATCAGTGCATAGAACAATTTTGTGGACAAATGAAGTGGAGAAGCAAACTGTGGTCTTTTTGGTCCAGGCACCTAGGAGAAAGACTCTCTGGCACCAAATTCCTGTAGATTCCTAAGACTGGAATATTTTGCGGAAGACAGGATTTTTTGCAATATTCGTAAGTTCTTCATGTATATTTGAATAGCATGCTTGTTGGTTGTTTGTATGCTCTCTTTGGTATTTATCATTAGTTGTGGTTCAGTCAGATACTTTCAACAACAGTATTTCCTTATATCTCATTTTATAGGTCAAACTTTGATGTACATAGGATTCAAAGAGTCCGAATAAGTTATGCATGTTTTCAGGTTAGAAAATCTTTTTAAAATAATCCTTCCACAGAATTTTGAACGTTATTTCCCTTGCAAATTTCATACTCAGGAGGAAAAGTGACTTTTTCTTGGTTATCAAAGATGTTACCAACAGGCTTTAGAAACAAAAGCACATATAATGACTAAAACAAAACTGAGCAAATTGCCAGGGAGCCAAGATTAAGTCTCTTCTGCTTTTTCTTTTATTGCACCTATTGCACGGAAAATAAATGATTCAGTTTTCCACAGCAATGTCTCTTGATGTTTTTGGCTTGATCCACTGTAATTTAATTAAGACTAAAAAAAAGAAAATTGTATGTGGCTGTTTTCAGACTTTTTTTTTTCATTTTTTTATAACTCTATTTTGATAGCTTCTTCCAAAAATTAATTGTTCTGCAGTATTCTTAGTATCAAATTCCAAATGAAAATATTTTTTCTATTCATAATTTCTTACTTATAGAATAATTAAGATAAGAAGATACTACGTTAGTCTTTCAGAATGCTGCTAAGGTTGCAAAGAACGTGAAAGGTTGGAGAACACAACAAGTTAAACTATTGTTATTAGTATTTCATCTGTATTATGCTGATTTGCTTCCAGTTACTTTAAATGTGGAAGTTTGCAGATTGACGTTTTCTTCCCATGTACGTTATTCAAAATTATAGAAAATGCAAATATATGACAAAAGTCTCATTCCCATCACACGTGCACAGGAAAATGTAATTGTGCCTTAGTGTAAATATTAATTAGTCCCATCGAACTGAAAATCTGGCTTTAGTGTAATAGAAAGGTTTATGGACATTTCCTCAGAATACTTTTGTGAAGAGCAACAGCTTGGAAGCATATTTGTGACGTTGTTTTCACACCGAATGTAGAGAGAACGTTACTGACCACTGCAATTTGTTTATAATTGAAGGCCTTTTCAAGATTTTGTAACATCTCTGTGTTCAAAGCAGTAAGATTTCCAAAGCAACCTAGGGTTTTTCTAAGGCTGTTCAGCACCCTCTAAAAGCCAGGTATGCAGCAGTTCAAGTATGATGTTGTTGCTGTCTGCACTGATGGACTTCCAGAACATTTCATATTCTGTGGTATGAAAACCGACGTTTGGCTGTTTAAAACAGTTTGACAGGACAGCAAAAAAGTCTCTGCTCTGTCTTCATTATTGTGTATTTGTTAACTTCTATCAAATTCTTTGTGGTTGTAAATCAGACAAAATCAGAGCTGTGGTCTTACAAGGATCTCTTATCTGTGGTAACGTTTTCCTTTCTGTTTCTGTGTCTCATGTCTGAGGTGACACTAATCTACCAAGAATCATACAGCCCAATTTTCATCTGGTACTGTAGTAACTCTGGTAAAGTCATTAGGTGATAATTTTCCTACATGCAGGAAATCCTTTGCGCTCATCAGCACCGAGATATGTTTGTGGCACAAAACTCTCCGTCAGGTTTTTTTCATATGCCAAATATATTCTTGAAAATATCTTGTGGCACAAAACAGTTAGCAAATAGAGAAGAAAAGCAGGGGTTATTCTGTATTGGAGGTTGTCCAGGGTTTAACAGCGATGGCAGGTATACTGGAGGAGGAGGAGGCCCTAGTTTAAGCAAAGATGGCCAGCTCTGCAGCCTGGGGGGCTCTGGGCCATTCTGGTTTGCTGTCTCTGTTCTGAAGTGGGTAAAAGCAATGGGGAGTAACGAACAATGTGGGAATAATGACGTGCCAGACTGCTCCAGCTCTAGGCATAGTGACTGTGTCCGTCTGTCTGTCTTGATTCTGGGATGAGAGCAACCATTGTGCTGTTTCTGGAGAGTAGCCCTAGGAAAAAGGGGGCTCACAGCCTTGTAATGTGCTGACTTGAGGTGTTTGTGCGGTTCCTCGCAGACGGCCTGCTCGTCATGTCTTCCATTCTTGGGAAGGTGAAGAAGTTTGGCAGTTCTGACATAGAGGAATCTGAAGTGACAGATGAACACATGGATGGGGAGGACTCCCTGCTGGAAATGCCTGACAGCCTCCAGGGTACTCTCAACACCAAGGTGCAGCCACCCAAAAGCAACATCTTTGCAAGACGTGGGCGGTTTGTGATGGGGGATAGTGACAGGGACATGGCACCTATGGACTCCTTATACCAGATGGATCATCTGATGGCACCTTCTGTCATCAAATTCCACGCCAATTTGGAGAGGGGGAAATTTCACAAGTAAGTTTGCCTCGTAAGATTTGGTTGTAATGGATGCAGTTTGACAGTTTTAGGCTGTGTATCTTAGTGCAGCATTTATTCTCCCCACATTAGCGTGCCCGGTATTCAATTCCATTATTTTCAGTGCCACAGTAAGGAGAATATCCTGACACATTAACTAATACCCTGTAACTAATACCCTGCTGTTACATCTAAAAGTGATAACAGGTTTTGGCCCTTGACATCTCTGTGAAAATTCAGCCAATGGATACCTCACTCAAAATTAGCGACAGGTCTTAGTAACCTACTTGAGACCGTTTAGCCAATGGAAATAACTCCAAATGAGAACGTGGGAGTTCCTGGCCCCCAGGCCTGTAGTTACTGTCAGACTTCAGTACTTCCTGAAGTATTGTTCTCAACTTTCAGCAACAGAAACAGAATTTTATCAGGACAGTTGCCTGCAGACTTTATGATCTTGTAGACTTCATAGATCCATCTAGACCAACCAGTAGTGCTTTCTACTTCAAAAAAGCAAATGAAGCATAGTAATTTGGTCGTTTATAAACGGTCTGCTTAATACCAGTCTTTAAGTAACTGAAATTTACCTTTGTTAGGCTCCTATCTACTGATTCCATCACAGGCTGCTCAGAAAAAGCTTTCAAGTTCTACGACCGCAGAAGGATCTTTGATGCTGTAGCCCAAGGCAACACAAGTGATCTGGACGATCTGCTGATATATCTTAATAGGACCTTGAAGCATCTCACAGATGATGAGTTCAAAGGTACCTTTTAGTGTCACACACCTTCAGTTGCCCTTGTCTTCTTCCAGTAGTGCTACTGAAATGGAAAAAAAAAAAAAAAACCATCATCATGTTAAATGCAAAGTAACTGCAGAAGGACCTCTAATAGCCAGTACTTCTCCCATTAATAGGACAACCTTTGATTGCAAGGTTGCAGGAGAGTTTAGAAAAGTTTGAGAATTTTTCTGTGGAAACCCCAAATGGGTTTTCTTGTCTTTTCAAAAGATCCTCAGAAACTCCTGCATGCCTGGGAGTCATGGCAGGTTTGTGGTCATTTCCATATATCTGTAATCTTTTGTTACAGAACCAGAAACTGGGAAAACATGCTTATTGAAAGCCATGCTGAATCTGCATGATGGGAAAAATGACACCATTCCACTGCTGCTGGATATTGCAAAGAAAACTGGAACTCTGAAAGAGTTTGTTAACGCAGAGTATACTGACAACTACTACAAGGGTAAGAGAAACAGCCAATACAGTGAACGCTTGCTGATAAGGCTGAAGATAAGCAGGGCCCTCACTACTGAAATGGAATGAGGCCTTCTGCATGAGGCCTTCTGCCTGAGGATGCAGCATCCCAAAGTGCCAGCATCTGATTAACAGTCAGTGCGTTTGTGGCAGGGCAGTATTTGGTTAGACAGGTGCAATATTATGCCCTTTCTGATACACACTGATTTAACAGCAGGTTCAGAGAACTTGCATTTGCTCTCTGTGCCATCATACTTATTTAACTCTAGAACTTTTCAGCGTGCAGAGCTCTCAGTTCCACCCTCGTACATGGAGCTGAAGGAATTGTTCCTGAAAGCTGTCAGTCTGCATTACATGTTATAGATTTCTGTGTCTGATGAGCGTCTCTGTAGGCCAGACTGCACTTCACATCGCTATTGAACGAAGGAACATGTACCTAGTGAAGCTCTTGATCCAGAATGGAGCAGATGTTCATGCAAGAGCCTGTGGGGAGTTTTTCCGGAAAATCAAAGGGAAACCTGGCTTTTATTTCGGTAGGAGTGAGTACTGTATGCACTTTATTGATTGAGTTATCCATATCATTATCACAGGTACAAAGCTATTCAGATAATATTGTTTATGTGGAACTGGAGGCCCACAAGTACCAGATGGGTTAAGCCACTACTCAGTCCAAACACTTACTCCCAAAGGCTACGATTATAGAAAAAACCTGTGGGATTTACACAGTTGGATCTGATGGTGTTTAGCGTCAGCTTGCTGTCCACATCCCTTTGCTTTCTGAGCTCTATAACCTTTGGAAGGTTGTAACCTTCTGCTAGCCCTCCTTTCAGTGCTTTTGTAGGCAGCCGTGATTCTGTGGTGCTTAAGTTTCAGTTAAACCAAAGAAAACGCGATTCGTTAGAATCTATCTCAAAAGTTGGTGCTAAATCAGACAAACTCACCTCTCTCTCCTCACGGTTGAAGATGAAAACAGCTTGATCTGCTTTTTGTTTGTGCACGTGAGGTAATACTTGCACATGTGCTGTGCTTTTTGACCAGTCATTCCCATTGCTTACCCACAGGGGAGCTGCCTCTGTCCCTGGCTGCCTGTACCAACCAGCTCTGCATTGTGAAATTTCTCCTTGAGAACCCCTACCAGGCAGCCAACATCACTGCTGAGGATTCCATGGGCAATATGGTCCTGCACACACTGGTGGAGATCGCGGATAACACTAAGGATAACACCAAGTTTGTTACCAAGATGTACAATAACTTATTGATCCTTGGTGCCAAAATTAACCCGATCTTGAAGCTAGAAGAACTCACCAACAAGAAAGGGCTGACACCGTTAACTCTGGCAGCCAAAACAGGAAAGATAGGGGTAGGTGGGCGCATGTGTGTCACTGTCCCCATCGCTGCATTAAATTATGGAGTACTTACAAAACATTTGCCTACGACAAATTTTATGACTGCTTGTTGCATGGGCCTTTTAGTTCATAGGACCAGATGCTGCAGTTCAACATGCAAAATTGCAAAGTCCTAAAGGCTACGAAGTGTGTGTCTATGGATGCCCAGCTGGCGTATTTATATACTACCAGTACGCAAGTGCCATCCAAGGTGGAAACAGAAAGCAGGTCTCGGCAGTTATCTGAGCTACTAAAGGCATTGTACTTTTGACCAGCTAGCATAACCCACCCTCTAACAGTTCCTGTTCACCATGAGTGCAAACTCAGAGATGTGTAACAAACGTCTCTGCGTTGCTCTTTCTGTTCTGAAACAGATACAGTGGCACATTGTAAGTGGTAGAGAGCAAAGAGATGGGCTTCCTAACATATTCTTGTTTTTCATGCCCCAGAACCCAGTGAGAAAATTGATAGTTTAGTTGAGATTTTGGTCTCTGCAGTCCTCCAGTGAGTTGACTTCAGCACAGTTAAACTAGGGAGAAGAAATTAGCCCTGCCTTTTTATGGAGATGCTGAGGAACTTAAACTCTACTAGCGCTGAAATGTGGATTGTATTATTCTTTTGCAATTAGATTTTCGCTTACATCCTCAGACGAGAGATCAAAGATCCTGAGTGCAGACACTTATCTAGGAAGTTCACTGAATGGGCCTATGGACCTGTCCACTCATCTCTTTATGACCTGTCTTGTGTAGACACATGTGAGAAAAATTCAGTGCTTGAGATCATTGCCTACAGCAGTGAAACACCAGTGAGTATTCACCTCCTTGGCACTTTCTTCATGGGCTGGGGGACTGCTCCGGAAGAGCTCTGTATTCCACGTGATGCATCTTTTTGAAGAGCTTCCCTTTCTGGCAGAGATATGCAATGTTATGAGAGCGTGTGGTGTGCTAATGTCGCTCAGTGCAGTCTATATTCCCTTGGGCTTGGAGGGAGTAGAGCTGGTTATGCACAGGAGGGTTGAAGACTCTTGCCATCCTTCTCTGGGGGCTGTGTCATTCCCTGCCATTTCTTCCTCCTTCCTGCTTCCCTCTCCTGTGAGGAAGCAGCTTCTAGTAGCTAGAGCAGGAGACTGGGTAGCTGGAACGGTTCCAGCTGTCCCTAGCTCTGCTGCCAACTCAGCATACCACTGTGGACAAGTCAATTTGCCTCATTTCTATAAAACAGCAATCTCCTTTCCTGAGTTAATGGGTATTAGAGGGAACGTTTGCTGAAGATGAATATCACCTGCTGTTTTCAAAGGCCAGTAGATACTGGTCGTGTCAAGGTTCTCCTCTTTGTCATTCCACTCAGAACCGGCATGAGATGCTGCTGGTGGAACCCCTCAACAGGCTGCTGCAAGACAAGTGGGACCGCTTTGTCAAACATCTATTTTACTTCAACTTCTTTGTCTATGCCATGCACATCATCATCCTCACCACAGCTGCCTACTACAGACCTGTGGTGAAGGAGAAAAAGGTATGTTACTCCTCTCACATATCAGGGGAATCACCCAGTGTATGATATCCCAGGTCTGCCTCCCATTTGGAAGTGTGCTCCTAAGTTCAGTTTTCCTTCTTTCCTAAAGGTAGGAAGGAGATTTTGACCCTGCTTGCTTCCCAGCCCTGCCCTCTTTCTGCAGCACATTTAGAAACTTAACTTATGCCACAGGAGATGTAGTTGCTTTCAGCTGTTGGCAAGGACAGGTCTTTCCTACCTCCAGCTCTGCTGAAGATCTCTGTGTTCCTGTCTTACACAGCCTCCCTTCACGTTTGGTCACAGCACTGGGGAATATTTTCGACTGACTGGAGAGATCCTGAGTGTACTGGGAGGTCTCTATTTTTTTTTCAGAGGGGTAAGATATTTGAAACTTTTCCTTTGTGCTGTTTGGGTAGCTATAGGTGAGAACCAAAATCACCTTTCCAATTCATTGGAAAAGATTGCTAGGATAATCCACCTCTTAGTCAAAAGCTACAATTTTTTTCCTTTGTCTGAGCAGGAACTCTCAGATTACTAATAAGCTCTCAGGTACGGTTTTACCTATTGCATGAAAAAGAAGAGCCTAAGAAGTCAAGGAGCCTTTGGGTAGATATCAGTCTGGCCAAAGCTTAAAAATGGCATGTTGCAAATAGCTAGGTCTACATTAAAAATTACTTGTCTTGGCTTAAGGCCAGTCTGCTTTCTCTTGGCAGCCAATGAAGAGTGTACACTGAATACGATGAGATCGTGGGTCCTCAGGCCACTGACTGAACGGTTGTTGCCTTCAAAAGAGGCCCCAGGTGTCAGAGAAACCTAGTGCTATCAAAAGAGTCCTCAGTGGACGTTGCACCAGTGTCATTCTTCAGCTATTCTTGTGAGATACTGTATAGGTACCCAGTCCAGGGGCTTGTTGGTGCATTCACGTGGGATATTTACTCCCTCCTTGGATGCAAATTTGGTATTCATCCCCCCCCCCCTTTTTTTTTTTTTTTTTTTTTCAGATACAGTATTTCGTGCAGAGACGCCCATCATTCAAGACGCTGATAGTTGACAGCTACAGTGAGGTTCTTTTGTAAGCTCCAATATTTTTGCTTGCATTTCAGCATGAAACAGCAGTATGTGTGATATCTGTAGCTTTGGCTGAAGCCAGTTCTAACACATAGAAGCTTTGCTATAATTTCCTAGGACCTTACAAAACAGTTGACAGGGGATGTTGTAGAACTCGAAAAAGTGGGTCTGGATCAGTAACCTCCTTTGGAGGTAAAGTAAATGAAGTGCCAAGAAGTTCAGTAGCTGGGTCATGTAGCAGAGTTAGGAATAGATCTCCAGGTTAAGTGACCTGTGATCCAGTGTGTGCACTGGATGTGCAAGAGTACCCCTATTCCTAAAGGGAGCTTTGCTTCTCCACAATTTGGACCTTTGCCTTCCCAGCTGGATGGCAACTAAACAGGGCAACTTCATGGGATGGTACAGTGGTCCATAGAAAGAAAGGGAGTGCCAAAGAAATGCGTGTATCTTCAGGCACTTTGTTTCCCTCCAGTCACAAGGAAGAACAAGAATGATACTACGGAAGTTTGTATGTGGGAAATTGAGGAGTTTGCCAAAAAAATTTTAGGGTTTGTAGAAGGGAAGGAGTGATGGGAAGAGAAGAATTGTCTGCCGAGGCTCCTGTGTGTTTTGGAGAACCCCTGATTCTGTTGCATGCGTTATGGTTCTCCTCCATTCACACTACCCATGGCTGATTCAGCACTCTGCATTCAGACTGTGCTTATCTTTCAGCTTTGTTCACTCCCTGCTCCTCCTGAGCTCTGTGGTCCTGTACTTCTGTGGCCAGGAACTCTACGTGGCCTCCATGGTCTTCTCCTTGGCTCTGGGCTGGGCTAACATGCTGTACTACACCCGTGGCTTCCAGCAGATGGGCATTTACTCTGTCATGATTGCAAAGGTCAGTCCAGTGAGAGGGTAGTGAGGCCAGCTGAGTGCTCAGGTCAGGAAACTCTTGCCAAAAGCCCCAGGAAAAAAGTGTCAGTATATACCTCCAGCATGCCGCTAGGAAGGCTCATATCAGTCAACTACACTCAGCCATTATTTCCTGATCAAAGATGTGACATTTTAAGTCATGTAGAAAGAACACCTATTTCTCATCCATGCACTTTATAACAGTCTTGATACACTGTATTAACCTGCCACGCTTCAAAATAACCCTATGGTTGGGTAGAAATGGATGTAAGAAGACTGAGAACAGTGCAGGTTTTGTCTGGCATGAAATAGCACAGCTTTCTACCAGCTGGAAGTTTCCTTGGGAATATTTAGAACATTACAAAACAGAGCAACTAGCTAACAGGCAGTAGTAGGCTAATAAAACTCTAGATAGGATTTAACCAACTAGCCCAAGAGAGGAACAAAGAGGCAACTGTCTTAATGTGGTTTATATTCATGAAGATGAAACTATTTGGCATGCATGTGTCTTGCATATGTGTGTAAACTGTTGCATAAATAATGGAGGAAAATGTTTTCTGTATTAAAATTGATTAACTCAGCTGGATAAACAACAGTTTAACGCACGAACAGCAAGTTCACAGCAATTGCCTTCTTGAGCTGAAGCAGTATGTTCTGCCAATTTTTGTTGCAGTTTATATTCAAGTTTTAGGAACATAAAAATGTTCTGTTTCCATGTTGCAGATGATCCTTAGAGATTTATGTCGCTTCATGTTTGTCTACCTAGTATTCCTCTTGGGATTTTCCACAGGTAATATCATATTTGGAGTTAATTTTTGTTATCTTAAAGAGTCGCGGAGAATTATGTGTCAAGTGACTTAAATTTTTGGTTTTTTTATCAACTGAAAACTAACAAATTAACCTCATTACAAAAATGCCTTCAGAAAACAATGTACAGCAGTTTTGTAGTGCTTTTTATCCCTGGGCTTCAAACTGCTTGGCAAAACTGAATAAAAAAACACTCATCCTGCTCTATACAGAGAAAACTGAGACAACATATTCTGAGAGGGTGTCAGCTATGGGGAATATTTTATAGAGGAATTTCATAACTGTAACTGGGGTAATGCCCCATAAAGATACTCTGTCTTATCTGATGCCCCGATGCTTGTTTTCACTGCAGTGGAATTATGATCTCAGATTGCATTTTTTTCATCTTGCTTATATGGTTCCTTTTTTGCAACAGCTGTGGTGACTTTAATTGAAGATGACAATGAGGGGCAAGATACCAGTAGCTCTGACTATACCCGGTGTTGCCATCTGAAACGAGGCCGCACATCCTATAATAGTCTGTATTATACCTGCTTGGAGCTTTTCAAGTTCACTATTGGGATGGGGGACCTGGAGTTCACTGAGAACTACAGGTTCAAGTCTGTATTTGTCATCCTTTTGGTTCTCTATGTCATCCTTACATACATCCTCCTGCTCAACATGCTCATTGCACTGATGGGGGAAACTGTGAGCAAAATTGCACAGGAGAGCAAGAGCATCTGGAAACTCCAGGTATATTGGCTCTGTGAGGCTGCTATCCTAGAAATAAGAGTGTGGGGAATGATAAGAAATTTCACAGTTTGTAGGAACTGGCTTATTTCTAAATAACAGGTTTCTTCTTATTTCTGATTTACTTAAACAGATCCAAAATAAGTAAACTGATTTCTTTTCCATGCATATTTGATCTTTTGCCTGAGCAGATGTTCCCAATGTTACACAGATGTTCAGAATTTAACAAAAGAAGTACTTTTTTAATTAGAGTTATTTGGGCTTTTGATGATGGAAAATCCTGATCAGAGTATGAAGACAGGGATTAGGCAAGGGAAAAAAAGGAAATACCATATTTTCCAGAGTCTCAGACAAAGCCACATCAGCTTTTGTTTTGGGTAAGAAGGGGAATTTCACGGTTCGAACCACAGGGCAGTAATTCAACATTTTAAATGACATATTTGTGGAGGTAATGATTTAGTGATGGATATGATGCTTGCTCTAAGACGATGATAATGATAAAAGCTGAACGTTGCCTTTATAAAGGCAGAATTCAGGACTTCTGTGATTTGAAACAGCAGCTCCTCAGTGCTCTTTCTTTTACCTGGTAGAGAGCCATCACAATCTTGGATATTGAAAACAGCTACTTGAACTGTTTGAGGCGCTCGTTCCGATCTGGGAAGCGAGTCTTGGTGGGGATCACACCTGATGGCCAAGATGATTACAGATGGTGCTTTAGGTAATCTGTTTGTGTGTCAAATGAACAACAACACTGAGGTATTTGAAAATGGGTAATGGGAGGCAGAACTTTTCCTTTGGGACCCTCCTCCGAACAGTGATACATTAACACTGTCTGCTGTCTGTTTCCTTGGTCAGATGTGAGGCCTGAGAGGTGACGTTATGAAATATAAACTCATCCTGAAGTTGTCTGTTGATCCTTAGAATAGATGTTGCTTTTGTCATTCTCTCCCCAGAGTTGATGAAGTGAACTGGTCCACGTGGAATACTAATCTGGGCATAATCAACGAAGACCCTGGGTACTCTGGGGACCTCAAACGAAATCCCAGCTACGCTATTAAGGCTGGTCGAGGTGAGGGTTTCAGGGATGTAGATCCTAGAATAGGCTACACAGTGATGACAGAAGCAGCACAGATTAATTTTTAGAGGGCAGTCAGTTTATACACTTACTAATGATAATGACTGTAGCTAAGTTAATGACTTTTTCCGTCAATGCAAAATGTGAAGGACTAAGTGGACTCATTATTCACTTAGCAGTTCTGCTCTTTGGAATAAACGCCCCCATGGATTCTTCATCCTGATTGTAGATTTTGGAAGGCATATAATGAGAGTAAATACTGAGGAGAAGGGCAGTGTATGTTGGCAGCCAGATATCCAAGAAGATACCTTGGAGGCCCTAAGCCCTCTAGTTTGGGAGCTCAACACCCAGCACAGAAGTATTCAACCCTAAGATCAATCTCTGCTGTGCTTGCTGGCTCAAATATGGAAAAACTGTGGAAACTATGGGGGGGAAAAAACCCACAGAGCCCTTTCTTCCTGTTTCTTTCTTCTTTCATCAGCTTCCTATTCAAACCACTGGTACACTTTCTTCTGTTTCTGTGGAGGGGGAAAAAGTCAACCATTCCTTTCCTTTTTAGTTTCAGGGAAAAACTGGAAAACATTGGTTCCGCTTTTAAGGGATGGAAGCAGAAGAGAAGAGGCACAAAAACTACCAGAAGAAGTAAAATTAAAACCCATTTTGGAGCCTTACTATGAGGCAGAAGACTCCGAGGCATTGAAGGAGTCACTTCCAAAGTCAGTGTAATTGTATTTTGTTTTTAGAAGAAGGTGGTTATTCTAGTTGCCTGTGTTGGTACTTACAAGCGCAGAATTAGAGCACTTCATTCGTAAGAACAGGGATTTATGGAAAAAGGTCAAAGGACTTAAGAAATTACTGTGTGCAAGGACTAGTTATGTATGCTAAATAAACAATTTGTTGTTTAAGCTCATGTCTACATGGTTATATTTAATATTAATCTGCAAAAAAATGACTATTTAGCACTTGGTTTAAATTTACCTGGCAAGATATGTGCATGTAGTCTCATAAAGTGTGAGAAACACTTTGCATAGTTGTTTAAAAAAAAAAAAAGGGGGGGGAGGAAATAAATTGAGAATGTCCCACACTTCAGAGCTTGCTGTAAGGGAGTGAGCCCTTTTTTCCTGCAATTTTTCCAGTTTTGATCTTTCCTTTACTCTTTCAAATTGCTCTCCTGCATTTTCATCACAGATACTGCTTTCTCTGAGTCATCAGCGGTTATTATGACATGAAGAACTGTGTTTCCCAGGGAATCTTGGGAAGAAGATTGCATCATTAGCTGACAGGAGCTTCACTAAGTTTAGCTAGTTGGTGCAAGTGGCCAGTGAGGGTGGATATTCTTCTGTTGACAATATGAAAATAACAAAAGTACCTCTACAGAAATGGCTATCATTTGACATCCCAAATAGTAGATTTCATATGTTCTGCTTGCTTTTGGATTTTCTTTCCATATTTTAAAAAGTATTTGTGTGAGAAGCTACAGGCCCTGGTGTCATGATTTCCCAGCCTCAAAAGCTAACCAACCAAACTGTTATGATACTGGAGAAGGTCTCATAAAAGAGAAGTAAAAATCACCAAGAATACAGGAGTTTGTTCCTATGGAGAAAGTTGCTTGGAAATGAGATAAATAAATGGGGATCCAATGAAAGAATATAAAATAATAGGTGGTCTTGGGATGTAAAAATTGTGGGCTCGTTACTCTCTTCTCATAACACAAGAACAAATATAGTCTATGAAATTTTAAAGGTTGGATAGTCAAAATCAATGACATAAATATTACTCTTAACGGTGTCTGAGTGAACTCCAGAGTTACTGTTATTGAGGCTAAAGGCTTAACAAGATCCCAAATTTGACATTTATTTAGATAACAGATGAACTTTGTACAAAGTAAGAGATAGTGATTATAGAGAATATATGTTTCAAAGGTCAGATGTATAATAATGTATAACAATAATCTTGATAACAGAAAGTTTTTGTTCTTGACTTTAACAGCAATAACAGGAGGAAAGATATCTATTGTTGAAAATCCGTCTAGCTGGATATATGGAGAGAATCAGGAAAAATATCTGAGAGGCAAAATAGGCAGATGTTCAAAGCTACGGACAGAAACCATGGAAAGAGAGAAAAGAGTAGGAGGGACTTCTATAGCCTCACAAAAAGTGTTTGGACGGAAAGAAAGTAAGGATAAGAACATTTGTCTTATACCAGTTTATAACTGACCCAGTATTGCAGTGCTGGACTGGTGCCACTGTGTTGGACAGGAAAAGGTAAATTGTTTTACCTTCTTTCTTTGTTATGTATCAATAAAGCACTAAGACTTAACAGCTTTTAATGTGCAAGACAAGCAGGGTGCATATGCAGGTATCCTTAAGCCAACAGGGTTTTTAAGCATGGCTTTAAATTTGAGCTTGCGCACTGTTCTTGTGACTGCACTTCAAGTACAGATGTGTTAAATTGCTTCTGTGAAACTAGGCCAGAATGCGCAGCCTTTTGCCAGAGAGAGCCATCGTGCCTGGCCTGTGACGCATCAAAAGGCTGTGGTCAGAAAACGTATGAGTCACTGTAGTTGAAAAGTGATATGCTGGAGGAGTCAGCAGCAAATTATTGGCAAAATTGGAAACCAAAGAAATAGAAAGCCCATGAAAGATGACTTTCATCGACACATCCTATAGTTTTTCTGCATTTAGTAAGATACTGAAACATTCACTGTTCTAAAAGGGAAGCAATTATTGTATTTACATGTACGCTGCCCTCCACTGCTAACGCTATTAGATGAAATATTGTCTGAAGCCAGTTCATTTATAGGGGTCAAGATTTCTCACGCTGCTTTTTTCTCAGGGAGTGTTACAACAATATATTTCAATAAAGTCTTCTAGGATCCAGCTGCTTTATTTGAAATAGTAGCACCATCTAGAGGACTAATAGTTCTTCTTTTGTTAAGCAACATCATTCAGAGCAAACATCATTTTATTTCGTAGTTTTGCAGGGCATAACCATAGAAATTTGCCGAAGAATTTGAAAGAATTCCTTCAACAAACCTAACAAGCCATTCATTTTGTCTCTGATGGAGAAGGAGACCACAAAAGATGTTTGAAGTAGGCATATTCAGTTTTGTACCATTACGAAGGTGCATCTCTATATGCTTGGTAGCAGTCCCTATAGAGAGGTTCCACTCAAGATAAGGGCCTCGTGCTCCGCGCTGAACATGGTAAGAGCGCATGTATTGAACAAGTACAGCTAAGGAGACAAGACAGGCTGGGACAGTGAAACTATAAATATTAATCATAAACGTAGAAAGGGGCTGACCAGAAGAACATATAGTCATTGCCTCTATGCCTTTATGTGCCAGGGCAAATTTATGCTTGAAAGCATGTTGGGAACCTGACATAGTTGGAAAGCTTTCATTAGTTAGATAAAGTTATTATATCCCCTTATATCTTGTAATTACCGGCTTGTGTAGAGACCTAATCTTATCCATTAAATTGCACCTTGATTTACATGAGGTGCCAAACCAGAAGGATTGATCTGCTGCTGTGGGTTACCTAAGCAGAATATAGACTTCTACTTTCCTGTTCCTTTTTTTTTTTTCTCCCTGTTTCTATTTTCAGGATTACAAAGACAACAGGGGACTTTTAAAGAAAAAAATGAAATGATAAAATTCAGAGTAAAAACATACATCAGTACAATGCTATGGTAATGTAAATGCCCTGAAGTTGCGATATAGGGTGGTGCTGGTGGGTTTTTTGGTTACATTTTTTAAAATCCTTTGGTCTTCTCTGGGAAAACAAACAAAATTATCCCATTTTTCTAAAGTAAATTATTAGTAAACTGTCAGAATTTCCAGTTACATCATCACTTAGTTACTGCTATGGGCAGAAAATCGTTTCCCTCAGGTGGAGAGGCATAACCTGGCAGTAGCTCTAGCCCACTGTCATGCACATTCATTCCAACTCAGCTGGCCGTGGCTCTGTTTGCCACAATTTACTTCCTTCATCTTCTTTCCACCTAAGTGTGGAGAATTGCCTCTGGAAAAGAAAGTGCATCTCTGCTCTGACAGACTGGGTGGGATGCCTACAGGGAACGTGCTGGTTCTGAATGGACAGAGAGCACAAAGACATGCTCTCATAGTGGAGGGCTGCAAACAATCCATGGGCAGAGAGGTAGCTTGCCAGGAAATGTTCATGCTTTAAGAATAGCTTTTCTGGGACAGGCATCTTGCTGTTCCTGATTGTTAGGCACCTCCACTGGCTGAGGAGGAGCATGGCTAAATGCTTAATATGAGATGACCAGGTTCAACAGCTGTATACATTTATCAGATCCCACTAGCTTAAAAGCAAAGGTAATGTGGGTGATGACTAATTACAAATGAATGCGAATGTGTGTGCAATGGGAGATAATGAGAAGAGATGAGTTGGGCTAGGATGAGTTGGGCTACGCTTCTTCAGTAGTTGAAAATGGACAGATACGATTCCGGTATGTTACAGCATTGCAACACCTGAGATGTGACCTGTGTCTAGTCAACCACATGAGCTGAGCTGTCATGTCTTTCAAACTCTAGTAATTTCTGAATTAGCTGAGAAAAACATACATCCTGCCTGTAAGACCTGGAGCCACACAGCCCAAATTTGTCTGTTCTCACTGTGCCCTCTGCAACAACTGGCACTGGTGCTAGATAACGCTTGTCCTAATAAAACATTAATGTCAATCCATCCCTGTGCAGCTCACTGGTAGTTTCTGGTGGAGTCCATGGGAGACTCTAGGGCCCACAAGAGGGCCCCCAAGGCAGGTACAGGGATGCTACCCAGTCCCTCTGGGGTACCCCATAGCTAACTTGCCCCAGGAAAGCCCTTCTTCCTCTGCCACCATGGCCCAGATTGCTGCCTCTGATCAGATTCTGTAAGCAGAATCATATTTCTCTTTGCCAAATGACAGCTACTCCCATCATTCTTCTGTGGCAAAGGTCTGTATCACACTAACATGTTACTGAGCCAAGCATCTTTGCTGGAGTGCTCAGTACTCAAAAATCCCCAGGGTGTGTGCCCAGTGAGCACTGCAATGTTACAAAACACACGGGATCCCACCAACGCCATAACCTTACAGGATAAAGCCAGTGGACTCGTGTTCTGACACTAAAGCTTTTCATGTCCCCATTGGTAGGAATTTTGTATATTTTAGAGCAAGCTGTCACGGTAAATCTTCCAAGCCAAAAGAATTCATGTACGTTAAAAATCCCAGATAAACTATTCAGAGCAACCCACTGTCAGACAATGTCCTTGGATATATAATGTCAGCTTGTACATTTTGCTGCATTAGAGACAATCCACTTGTAGTGAAGGTTCTTGTGAACCTTGCTCCGTTAGGCTACAGGCATGGTTTTACTAGAGCCTGGGAGGAGGTTGTCTTCATTGACACTGCCACATGCAGCATGGGCATCCTGGATCTTCTGATGTGGTTATTGGGCTCTGAAGTGCTTCCCATCATGCAGACTGAGATCACTTCTGATGCTGAATTAGTTTCCAGAGACAATATGGATGCCCAGTATCTTCTACATCTGACATGAAACTGTGCAAAGCACTTGGAAATGGACAGTGGAGAGCACCCTGTCTCCCTTGGAAGGAGGGGAAATCAACCAAATGGCCTCATGCGACTTCTCTCTTTCTGGTGTGTTTGTGATTCTATGGCAAAGCTACATCCTCGTTAGTAACACTTCCTGTTTCAATATGCAGGCAATGAACAGACATGAGGAGACATGAACGTTTACAGAATCTCTGTGGTTTTCAGAATCCATCATTGTGCAGAATTATATTTCTCCATCATCGTTACAATGGACCTCTGTGAACGTTTAAGTGACCTGAACGGTGACATGAAA